CGGGGCGGCGGCGGGGCGGCGGCGGGGCCGCGGCGGGGCCGCGGCGGGGCCGCGGCGGGGCCGCGGCGGGGCCGCGGAATAGAACTGCGCATGCGTGCGGCTGATCCCGGAAGCAGCGCTGTGGTTCGATGAGTCGGCGCGGAGTGATATCGCTGGTGCGGGGCTTGTAGCAACTGCGCATGCGTGGGTTGAGTCACTCGGTCAGCGCGGGCAGTCATCATGGCGGACGGCCGGGCTGGGGGGTGCGGGAGGTGGCGGAGCTGCGGGAACGGGGCTGCGGCTGCGGAAGGGAACGCCGGGACGTCCGTGGTTGCAGGAGGCGGCGGAGCCGCGCCATCCAGCAGCTCTGAGGCGGGAGGGTGCGGGGGGGAAGGCGCGGCTCGACCCGCCATGCAGCGGCGGCGGCAGGAGCGGGGAAGCGACCGCGGGCGGCGCTGGCGGGAGGCTGCGCTGGAGGGCGCGGCGCCGGCACGGGGTGGCTGGGCGGGCTGGGGCGCCCCGGTCCCAGCGCAAGCGGTGCTGTGCCGGGACCGGGGGATTGCGCCGAAACGCCGGCAGGGACAGGGTTTGCCGTGGGCGTTTCCCCTGCCGCGGGGCCCGTGGGCAGCGCGGGGTGCGCTGCGTGCGCTTAAACGCCGGGGGGAGGGGGGCGGCAACGTGCCCAAGGGACGCTGGGGACGCAGCGCGGCCGGGGCAGGCGTGCTCGGCACCGCAGATCCGGGAGCCGCAGGGGACTGCAAAGACGCAGCAGCGGCGGGACTTGGGCCACCACCGGCCCCGCTGTGTCGGCAAAGGGGGCGGGAGGGACGTGGGGGGCGGCAGGAGCGGCCGCACTCGCGGGTAATGGGGAGAAAAAAGCGGCGGGATCCGCGGGGGCGGGAGGGGGCGGGGCCGCGGTGACGCCGGTGGGCGGGCTCGGAGAGGCGGGATTAGGGGGCGGGGCCGCAGTGGCCGGGACAGCAGGGACCAAGGGGATGGCAAAGGCGGGGATGGCGAGAGCGGTGGGAGGGGCCGCGAGGTCCGGAAGGGTGGCGGGGGCGGGGCGGCAGGAGTCAGCGGGACCGCGGGTACCGGAGCCGTGGCGTCCGATGGGGGGCGTGTCCCGCTGGAGACTCGCGGCAGCAAGGGGCGGAGTCGCGGCAGGAGCAGAGCTCGGCAAGGCAGCTGCTGCGGGCATCCCCCGTGCAGCAAAGAGCTCAACCACCGCCCAGCAAGCTGGGACCAGCTCCGCGGCAGCCAAATCGCGGCGAGCGATGCTAATAAAGTGCTTTACGACACCTGTTGTGACAGTCGCGCTTTATGTCACCTTTTGCGACAGTCGCGATTTACGACACCTTTCACGACAGTCGCGCTTCACGGCAGTTTCGCGACAGTCGCGCTTTACGGCACCTTTTACGACAGTGCTGCTTTACGGCACCTTTTGCGACAGTCGCGCTTTACGGCACCTTTCACGACAGTCGCGCTTTACGGCAGTTTTGCGACAGTCGCGCTTTACGGCACCTTTTGCGACAGTCGCGCTTTACGGCACCTTTTGCGACAGTGTTGCTTTACGGCACCTTTTACGACAGTCGCGCTTTACGGCACCTTTTGCGACAGTCGCGCTTTACGGCACCTTTCACGACAGTGCTGCTTTACGGCACCTTTTACGACAGTGATGCTTTACGGCACCTTTTGCGACAGTCGCGCTTTACGGCAGTTTTGCGACAGTGTTGCTTTACGGCTCCTTTTACGACAGTCGCGCTTTACGGCACCTTTCACGACAGTGCTGCTTTACGGCACCTTTCACGACAGTGCTGCTTTACGGCACCTTTTACGACAGTCGCACTTTACGGCAGTTTTGCGACAGTGTTGCTTTACGGCACCTTTCACGACAGTCGCGCTTTACGGCAGTTTTACGACAGTCGCTCTTTACTGCACCTTTCACGACAGTGCTGCTTTACGGCAGTTTTGCGACAGTGCCGCTTTACGGCACCCTTTACGACAGTGTTGCTTTACGGCAGTTTTGCGACAGTCGCGCTGTGTCTCACCTTTTACGACAGTCACGCTTTACGGCACTGCCTTTTATGGCACTTTGACGGTACTTTACAGCACTTTACGATTTTAATTTTCTTTTTCATTTATTTTTAATTAATTTAATTTCTTTAATTTTTTTATTTAGTTTTTATTTTTATTTTTAATTTTTTAAAGCTTTTCATTTTACTTTTTGAATTCTATTTTAATTTAATTTTTAGTTTTAATTTTTCTATTTTTAATGCATTTATTTTATGTTTTTAGTTTTATTTTTTATTTAAATTTTATTTATATTTTTAATTGTTTAATGCTTTTTATTTTTTTAATTTTATTTTTATTTAAATTTTTTTAATTTTTCTCTTTTTAAAGCATTTATTTTACTTTTAAAATTTTATTTTAAATTAATTTTTATTTATAATTTTTCTCTTTTTAAAGCATTCATTTTTTTTTTAATTTTCATTTTTAATTTTTCTATTTTTAAAGCTTTTTCTGTTTGATTTTATTTTTAATTTTGAATTAATTTTTAATTTTTAATTTTTCTATTTTAAAGCATTTATTTTAATTTTTTAATTTTATTTTTCATTTAATTTTTATTTTTAATTTTTTTATTTTTAAAGCTTTTTATTTTGTTTTTTTATTTTGTTTTTTGTTTATTTTTATTTTTAATGCTTATATTTTTAAAGCATTTATTTTTTAAATTTTATTTTTAATTTAATTTTTCTTTTTAATTTCTCTATTTTTAAAGCTTTTTATTTTATTTTTTAAATTTTATTTTTATTTAATTTTTATTTTTAATTTTTCTCTTTTTAAAGCTTTTTTTATTTTTTAATTTTGTTTTTTATTTAATTTTTTATTTTTAATTTTTCTATTTTTAAAACATTTATTTTTTAATTTTATTTTTTAATTTTATTTTTTATTTAATTTTTATTTTCAATTTTTCTATTTTTAAAGCTTTTTATTTTTTATTTTGTTTTTTATTTAATTTTTTATTTTCAATTTTTCTATTTTTAAAGCATTTTATTTTTTAATTTTATTTTTTATTTAATTTTTATTTTTAATTTTTCTATTTTTAAAGCTTTTTATTTTATTTTATTTGGTGCTGCCCAGACCAGCTCAAGCTGGTGATTGTGGTGGTGTTTGAGGATCTTGCATTACGGCACTACCTTTTATGGACTTTTTACAGCACTTTACATTTTTTATTTTATTTTTCATTTATTTTAAATAATTTTGTTATTTTTAATTTTTCTATTTTTAAAGCTTTTTATTTTATTTTTTTAATTTTGTTTTTTTATTTTTAATTTTTCTATTTTTAAAGCATTTATTTTAATTTTTTAATTTTATTTTTCATTTAATTTTTATTTTTAATTTTTCTATTTTTAAAGCTTTTTATTTTATTTTATTTGGTGCTGCCCAGACCAGCTCAAGCTGGTGATTGTGGTGGTGTTTGAGGATCTTGCATTACGGCACTACCTTTTATGGACTTTTTACAGCACTTTATATTTTTTATTTTATTTTTCATTTATTTTAAATAATTTTGTTATTTTTAATTTTTCTATTTTTAAAGCTTTTTATTTTATTTTTTTAATTTTGGGGTTTTTTTTATTTTTAATTTTTCTATTTTTAAAGCATTTATTTTAATTTTTTAATTTTATTTTTCATTTAATTTTTATTTTCAATTTTTCTATTTTTAAAGCTTTTTATTTTTTAATTTTATTTTTATTTAATTTTTTTACATTTTTCTATTTTTAAAGCATTTATTTTATTTTTTTAATTTTGTTTTTTATTTAATTTTTATTTTCAATTTTTCTATTTTTAAAGCATTTTATTTTTTTAATTTTATTTTTTATTTAATTTTTATGTTTAATTTTTCTATTTTTAAAGCTTTTTATTTTATTTGGTGCTGCCCAGACCAATTGAAGCTGGTGATTGTGGTGGTGTTTGAGGGTCCCCAGGACAAGGGAAGAGATGAGAATCTTGACTCCACCTTTCAGAAGGCTGAAATATTATTTTATGATCTCTATTATATTAAAAGAAAATGAGATATTAGAACTATACTAAAAGAGCAAGGAGACATCAGAAAGCTGGAAAGGAATGAATAATAAAATCCTGGGACTGCTCACAGCCCTGAGGCAGCTGGACCATGATTGGTCATCAAGTAGAAACAATGCACAGGAGACCAATCCATGATGCCCCTGTTGCTAAACCATCTCCAGCCCACACTCCACAGCCAGCAGATTGTTATTGGTTCCATTTCTGTTCTGAGGCTTCTCAGGAGAAAAATCCCAGGATTTTCATCAAACACGTCAGTGCCAGGTGATGGCACAGGCAGCATCGGCCGGCTGAGGTCACTGTGTCATCCCTGCCAGCCCAGGTGTCACAGCAATAGGAGAGAGTTCAGCCTGTGCTCACCCTGCGATACAGAGCAATACAACACACATATTAACAAAAGATGATAACCTTGTTCTATTTTCATTACATGTGGATTTATTGTTACAGGAAACCCAAAACAACAAAAGCACCCAAAAAACAGCACTCATCTACCATTAACACCCCCTTCAGATGACACACAAACTCACCATCCCTCCCATCACAACTGCTAAATTACACCCCAGCAATCATTGGTCCTCAGGAACGTGGTTCCCGGCAGCCTCCAAAAAATCCTCCTGCCTGACCAAAACCCCAGTCCCTGGACAGTCTGCACCCAAACTTTGGCGATGAACGTCGCCTCGCAGACTGACCGGGACCAAGGATAAAAAACCCAGCTGGGGGGGAAAAAAAAAAGAAAAAAAAACAAACCCAGCTGGGGATCTTTTATTCTAAATTTAAAAATGAGTTGAAAAATTTGAAAAGCAAAAGTCACACACACACAAGGTTAAATCCAGTCAGCATGCGCTGACACACGCAGAGACGAGCAGACACAGACAGACACAGGCACGTGCTCTCACACACGCTCTCACACTCTTCCCAGTTAAACGTTCCCTGCGGCCCGTACTCGAGACGTGGATGAAGAACGTGCTTCACACATCTGGCTGCGCTCCTTGACATCAAATGGCAGATTCTGGGGAAATCAGTGGCCTCAGGGACCTGTGAGACAACAGGAAGCAGTCAACGAGTGGCTATCTGAGCGCTAGGACTTGTCCCTGCTCTGGACCAATAAATTTTCTACCCAAAATCCCATAAAAGACAGATGAACAGTAAAGTTTTTAGAACTGTTCTACCTAATGTGACTACGTGCCCGGGCAGGGCAGCTCCAACCATAAGTGGTACAACATGAGTACACACAATACAAGCCAACGCATACAGTGCAAGTGTACATAGAGTGTAGGTACATACAGTGTAAGCCAGCATAGGTACACACAGTGTAAGTACATACAGTGTAAGCCAGCATAGGTACACGCAGTGTAAGCACATACAGTATAAGCCAGCATAGGTACACGCAGTGTAAGTACATACAGTGTAAACCAGCATAGGTACATGCAGTGTAAGTACATACAGTGTAAGCCAGCATAGGTACACGCAGTGTAAGTACATACAGTATATGCCAGCATAAGTACACGCAGTGTAAGTACATACAGTATAAGCCAGCATAGGTACACGCAGTGTAAGTACATACAGTGTAAGTCAGCATAGGTACACGCAGTGTAAGTACATACAGTATATGCCAGCATAAGTACACACAGTGTAAGTACATACAGTGTAAGCCAGCATAGGTACACGCAGTGTAAGTACATACAGTATATGCCAGCATAAGTACACGCAGTGTAAGTACATACAGTATAAGCCAGCATAGGTACACGCAGTGTAAGTACATACAGTGTAAGTCAGCATAGGTACACGCAGTGTAAGTACATACAGTATATGCCAGCATAAGTACACACAGTGTAAGTACATACAGTGTAAGCCAGCATAGGTACACGCAGTGTAAGTACATACAGTGTAAGCCAGCATAGGTACACTCAGTGTAAGTACATACAGTATAAGCCAGCATAGGTACACACAATATAGGTCCATACAATATAAGCCAGGACTTGAGGTAACTCTCTGGAAGATATTAATTCTTGAGCCCTATACCCTTTGAGAAGATGGAACCTATAGAAGTACTGCAGTCATGTGAGGAGGGTGTAAGACGCTTCCTCCAGAAGTCCAAGAGAATGGCATGGAAAAAAAGACACTACCAAAGCTGGTAGTGAGAAGGAAGACAGATGAGAACATCTTGTCCCCTGGAGTTAATAAACACTGGGGTGTCTGTAGTTCACTGAAATCCTGCTCTCGTGTCTTGGTTCTTTGGGGTGAGGATGGGCTGAGCTCAGCCCAGGTTTGGAAGGGTGTGGGCTCTCCTCCCTTCCTGCAGGGGATGTGTCTCTTGCAGGGGAGGCTGGCAGATGGGGATTGTCCCTTCTTACTCAGCAAAATTCCTTTCCCACCCCAGCCTTTCAAAGCTGGAGTTTTGCTCAGCCCCTTGTCCCCATGCTGAGGCAGCAGCACGTTGTTGACTCAGAGCTGCAGGTCTGGAACACACAGGGAACAGAAATAACAAAGGTGTTGCCTCACCAACTTTGGGGCAAGGGCTGCAGCACAGACAGGACAAACTGTCTGCAGCTCAATCTCCAGCCAAAGTGCTTGCACCTTTGGAGCATTTGTGCTTTTAACACATGGAAGAAGGATCAGCAACAGCAAAATTCCCTTTTACCAACTTCTCACCACTCAATCTCTCCTTATTCTGGCTGTAAAACAAATCCATTCACTTGGCATTTAAACAGCACATTTCAATTACCTTTCCACAAACCTCTTTGGTGTTTGTTCCCTTCCTCCGTGCCATGTTCCTGTTTTGGCCCATGTCTCACTCTCCAGACTGGTCACCTGGCCAGGAAATCACTTTTGCACTCTCAGCTGCCAGGCTAAAGGGACAAGAAAGCCACAGGTAACACCAGTGCTCAACACCTGCAGTCAGAAGAACAGAGATTTCCCCCTCACAGTTCTTTTTCCTCCCATAAACTTTCTTGATTCATGCCACTCCCCTTATTTTTCCTGTTTGTATCTTCTGGTTCCTTCTCTTCAAATCCTCAGCTGAGCAGATTTTCTCTTGCTCCCAGCAGCAAAAGTCTGGCATTGTCCCTCATGGCGGCACAGAGCCAAAATGAAAGGAAAGGGGAAGCAGCAGACTACCACATTTTAATCTCTTACTTAAATAAGCAGTTTACAGTCACTGGTACTCCCCACCCATCCACCCTTTTCTTAAAATTGTGAAATATTTCAGATTGGAGGGGCCTGTGGAGCTCCACAGACATTACAGAGTGTGGTCCACAGTGTCTTCAGATTTTCACCACCACCCTCCTCTGACTCACTGGGATTTGGGTTTTGGTCTCAACGCCCTGCTCATTACAGGCCACAGGAAGGTGCTTGATCCAAGAATTCACTTAGGCTGATTATCAGCTGGCTCATTCTGGATGCGAATCTCGTGCTCACCATTCTTCCAAACCCTCAGCAACCTCCTGTCAAGGCTGGAGTATGGACATCCATAAAGGATGAACATGAAAAAAGGAAACATTACAAGTGAGGAACTCCAGAAGGAGAAGGAACCTGGCAATAAAATGGTCCAGAGTTTTTCTCAGTGCAGACAGTGTGATGGTCTGTGCATTCTTAAGCCTGCAAGTCTGAAGGAGAAAAATAAATAATCATGGGTGGAAATGTTTGAGAAGCAGTGAATTAATTGGTGGAAATGTTTGAGAAGCAGTGAATTAATTGGTGGCTACGTAGAGAGTCTGAGCCTTGCTCCGGATGGATACTGAGGGCACTACATGGGAAGTGCAGCTCGAAAGGACCTTGTGGGGCCGCCAGAGGCAGCTGGGTATCACCGGCAGTGTCCTGCTGCTCCAAACAGGGACCCGAGGACCTGGATTAGGCTCCATCCCAGCTGTATGGCACCAAGGCTGGTTAAAGGACAGCAAACCCCGACAGGGGACAGGAAAGCGGGGATGAGTGTGCTGTGAGGCACAGGGACAAGCCCGTGCCGCTGCTCAGCAGGACCAGGAGCGGGGCTGGCCCGGGGACTCCCCGCCCCGGCGGGCGGGACGAGCTGCGGGGCGCCGGGAGCGCGGCGGGATTGGAGCTGGGACCGGGACCGGGACCGGGACTGGAGCTGGGATCGGGACCGGGGCTGGGATCGGGACCAGGAATCCAGCTGGGATCGGTACCGGGGCTGGGATCGGGACCAGGAATCCAGCTGGGATCGGGACCAGGATTGCAGCTGGGATCGGCACCGAGATTGGAGCTGAAATCAGGATCAGGACACAGCTGGGATCGGAACCGGAGCTGGGTTTGGGATCGGGACCGAGACCGTGACTGGATTCGGGATTGGAGCTGTGATCGGGACCAGAGCCGGGACTGGGACCGGAGCTGGGATTCTGACTGTGACCAGGATCGGGATCGGGACCGGAGCTGGGACGGGGACCGGGATTAGAGCTGGGATCAGAACCGGGAGTGGATCCGGTATCGGAGTCGTGACTGTGACCAGGAGCGGGACCAGGACCGTGCCCGGAGCCGCCCCGCAGCGTCCCCGGCCCGCAGCGCCCCCGGCGCACACGGAGCCGGCCCGGCCGCGATGGCAGCAGCAGCCGAGGTGAGCGAACTTTGCATCCCGGGGGTATCGGGGGTGCTCAGCCGAGCGGAGCTGACCCGGGGCCTCCGCGTTCTTGCCTCTGTCTCCTGGGAAAGGCCGATCCTTGTGCCTGGGACTCGTGCTCAGGCACTTCCCAGCAGCTTGTGCAAACAAACACTGCTCGGCACAAAAGCTGCATTTTCAGTTTCCTTCCCTGCCCAGACGTCACCGGGCATCGTGGCGAGTTCACTTTCCGCTCTCCAAATCGCTGCTCCACGTTCCCGGCAGTGTTTGTCATTGCCAGGCTGCACAGCCGCTGCTCCAAAGAGTCCTGGAGATGTCCAAAATGAACCTTTCAGCTTTGATTTCTGGATTGTAAATGTGTATGTTGCAATGTTTCTGCTGACACCCTTCTTGCTTTGATGGGAAGGTTTAAGTACCTGGATACTCCTGATCCCCAGTCAAGTGCTGAGACTCTGGAATGGCCTTTAATTTAGCATTAATTTTGCTCCTGGGTGCACCAAATGAGTGTTGAGGAGCTCTAACACTTCTTTTTCAATTCTGATTCCCCTCCCTGTCCTCCCTCAGCTTTCTAACAAAGCTGCCTTTTACACATGGCTACTCCTGACCTCTGCACGCTCTCTCCTGTTGTCCTTCCATGCACAGGGACATGGAAACAGTCACCAGGGAAAACTTTTTTAAGGTTACTCAACAGTGTTTTGTCTGGCTGGTAAAGCCCTGGCACAGATCAGCTTCCATCTCCTTGCTGTCCATGGTAGTTATAGTGACCAGCATGAGAAGAAACTTTGCCAGTGGTGATTAAAAAATCAAGTACATTAGTAATTATCCACTCTGCAATGCAGCTGTATTTAGTCCCTTCCTTCAGGTGTCCTCCAATTCCTTTTTGTGCCTGGTAGCACTGGAAAGTTGTTTTTGAAATCTTGGATAAATTGTCTCTGCCCAAGTAAAATTCTTACCCACTTCAGTGCAAGCCTGGCAGAATGAAAACTTCTTGGATTGTCTTACCTGGGCAAGAAAAAATCTTCTGAGCTGACACAGCTCAGGTGAGGCCAGGCAGGCTCTGAATCACTGCTGGAGAAGCTCCCACACAACACACACCCCACACACCCTGCTGTGGGCACAGCTGAACCCTGCACGAGCCTTTGGGCACGGGCTGAAGTGGGTGACACATTCCAGGGGGTGAGGTCACCACAGGAATACTGGCTTGGATAGGAAAACTCCACTTTTGCTTCAGTGCTGAAACACAGCTCTTTGTCAATCAAAGAAGAATCTGTTAGTTAAACAGCACCAAAAGGATTTAGAGGATATTAATTTCACTTTAATCCTACTGACTGTTTAGTTTCTCCTCCCTTTACAAGGCCTCAAAACAGAAATCTGTGCTGGTCTTGCTTTGTTCCCTGATATCAATTTCAAGGACTCCCAGCAGAGTCCTGCAAATGTAAAATATCTTGGAGGGTTCCTGGGCCAGATCTCAGGAACACTGACAGTGATGTGTTCTCCAGCTCTTCCACCACTTGCCAGAGGTCCTGAAGTCCAGGGGACTTTCTGGTCAGTGCTGTCCCACAGAAAGGAGTTGAGCATGGGCTCTGTATCAGACAAATGGACCACAGGATGTCATTTACTGCACAGGATTTATCTGGAGTCATTAGGCCTCTTTAATTGGCTTTTTTCTCTCTCAGGGGAATAAGCTTTGGGGTGGAAGATTCAGTGGAAGCACAGATCCCATCATGGAGATGCTCAATGCTTCCATCAGCTATGACCAGAGGCTGGCTGAGGTGGACATCCAGGGGAGCATGGCTTATGCCAAAGCCTTGGAGAAATCTGGGATCCTGTCTAAAGCTGAGCTGGAGAAGATCCTGGGAGGCCTGGAAAAGGTAATTTCTCTCATTCAAAAACCTCAGGTGAATGAATAGCTCCTGAGAGCAGCCTCCCTGGATTTGGTAGCTCCTGTGGCTGACTGGTGTTTGTGCTGCTTGCAGATCTCTGAGGAATGGTCCAAGGGAGTCTTTGGTGTGATCCAGACTGATGAGGACATCCACACTGCCAACGAGCGCAGGCTGAAGGTTTGGCTCCTCCAGCCTCCTCTTCCTGATCCTCTGCCTCACATTCAGGCCTTGTCCCTCTGTCCCTCTGGGAAATCCCTTTAGAGCTGCTGGCACTGAACCCCCTGGGGCACAGCCAAGGGTCTCCAAGCCCCCTTTTGGGGCTGTACAAGCCCAGAACCCAAAGCTGCCCTTCCCCAGAACACATCCCAGGGTTACTCACAGGATCCTGGAGCTGAGTCCCTTCCAGGCAGGGAGATGTGCTCCTGTGGATTGTCCTGTTTAGAACACAGAGATGCTGACAGAAATCCTGCTCTTGTCTTCAGGAGCTGATTGGAGATGTAGCTGGGAAGTTGCACACTGGCAGAAGCAGGAATGATCAGGTATGGACAGAATATTTTCTTCTTCTTTTCTATTCCTCCACCAAAATATTGAATTCTTTAATTCAATATTTTTATGCCATCTCTCTCATGCCCTGACACACTCCAGCCTGAATTCCCTTTAAATCAAAGATGGCTTTAAACTAATGATGCTGCAGTGACTCATCCACCCAGGGGAGTGGGATCTGCAGGGCTGCATTCTGCTGGTAAAAGGCCACAAAATTCCACTGACATCTCTGAAAGCCTTCAGAACCCCTGACTCTGCTGGCTGGGTGATCTTTCAGGATCAATCTTCCTCAGGATGATCAACTTGTGTTGGTTGGTTGGGAATTTTCTGCTTCAAATTTGACAATATCTGAGAAGCCCACTGAAAATAACAGATTTTGGTTCTGTCCATGGAAAGCAGCAGCAGCTTTCACAAATCAGTGACCAGGGATGCATCCCACAGGAGGAAGATTTCCCTTCCCATCACACAGAACCAGGAGGGGATAATGGTGCCAGGGGGTTGTGCTGAGCAATATTTGGTCACTAAATCTGTCCTGTTGTGCTTGGCCTGGCTGTGGCCAATCCCCCACAGGTTGTGACTGACCTGAAGCTGTTCATGAAGAGTTCCCTCTCCATCATCTCCACGCACCTCCTGCGGCTCATTGGGACCCTGGTGGAACGTGCTGCCATGTGAGTCCTTTCCCTCAGTCCCTGTTTTCCATAATTTTGGCTTTTTTGGGGCAGGACACTCCTAGGCTTGTTGTGTGGCTGTGCAGCTGCAGGATCTTCTGTGGCCCTGTCCCTGCTGTCCCTGCTGCTCACCTCTCTGTTCCTTCCCTCCCAGAGAAATCGATGTGATCCTGCCTGGCTACACCCACCTGCAGAAAGCTCAGCCCATCCGATGGAGCCAGTTCTTGCTCAGGTGAGCACCTCCCACCCTCCCCACCCTCGGGGCCCTGCTCTGCTGAGGGGACAGCCAGGGCTGGGGACAACCCCGAGGGAGCCCTGCAAACTGGAACAGGAACTCCCTGTGTGGCTCTGACCAGCTGGGAATCCAAACATGGATTGGACAACTCCCTGTTCTCCATCCTTTGGCCATTCTCACCTCCTGGAGTGGGATGTTCCATTTCCATTTTCCAGCTTCATCTCCCTGTTCCATCTCTCTTGTCCTTTCCCAGCCATGCTGTTGCTCTGACCCGCGATTCTGAGCGCCTGGGAGAGGTGAAGAGGAGGATCAATGTCTTGCCTTTGGGAAGGTAAAGTTTATTTTTTATTGTGATCCTCAGCCATCACTTTGCTCTGAGATAAAGACAAGAGGCAGATCTGTCCATCCCCTGAGCCATTGGGGTTTCTAGTCCATGGACACTGCAGCCC